CTATCAAGCTCATTCCTTGGATGCAGAATTATGGTACCTAGCAGCATGGTGATGGCATCGAGCCAAGTTGATTCCCTGGGTGCAGGTGCATGATACCTAGCAGCATTATGACATCAAACGCTTAGGCAGGATACACAAGTTCACAAATACTCTGACAGTTATGTAGGCTGTGGGCAGTGTGCTGTTTTTCTACATTTACCCAAAGACAGATGTAGGAGATAAAAACATAGATATATCTATCTTGAAAATCTGTAGTCCCCTTTCCTTGCTTAGAACATAGAGTTGGGGCTTTCTAAAAAGTTTGGGAGTACCACAGTCTATGTAATAAAAATATAAAAAACACAAAGATCACAAAAAAGGGTCCTTTAATGAATATATGTCTCAATAATACAGCTTTATTCCTCGGAAAAATAAAAGACTAGCTGACAAAGGGGAGTTACGCGCACAGGCAAAATCTCTCTATTCATCAAGAGGTAGAAGAGTTTAACTCTTTGGTAACAATCACTTTTCCATTCTTTCCACCATGCTCCAGATCAAACCTAAAGCTTTCAGTAAGCAAATAAAATCACTAGATTGCTAATGAGCAGAGGTATGTAATATGAGTACATGCTCATATGTTAATATACGTGTAAAAAATAAAACTGCCTCCATAAAGTTCTAGGCCAGTCATAAACTCTAAAAGAACATCAGTGCTACTTTTTGAGTATGAGATGACTTTTTCAACCCAGTTGAAAAATAATGTTTGTCCTTAAGGGACATCAAAGAAAATATATTGGTGGTTTGTGGCAGGCAAAAAATTATCGACCTGAGATCTGAAATGGAAGAGCTTGCATGCTGAAAAAGTCAAACTGAGGATAAGAATGCTTATAAAATTCAGAATTAATGATTCCCTTCTATTTCTTAATTCCCATACCAACAAAATGACTCACTATTTTAGACAATTGATATTCTTAAATATAGCATTCTACCAGAACTATAATACTTAAACTTTGAGGAAGGAAAACTTATCTTTTAATTTCTAGGGTAAAGTGACTTGGATTTTGTTTCTAGGTATTTTCATATTTCACTATGTTATTTATTTAATTTTAATTTTACCTTATTTTGGCAGGGTCTTGCTCTGTCACCTAGGCTGGAGTTCATTGACACAATCATGGCTCACTGAAGCCTCAGCCTTCCAAGCTCAAGCAAACCTCCCACCTTGGCCTTGCAAGTAGCTGGGACCCCAGCTATGCACCACGACACCCAGCTAATTTGTGTATTTTTTTTTTTATAGAAACAGGGTATTATTTTTTAATAAACTGAGATGTAAGACAAACTGACTTACTTGAGTAGAAACGAAATGACACTGAGTAAACAGCATTAATAGAATTAGCAGTTTCGGGAAAGCTAGGACATGTCTATGGCTCAAATATTTTTTTTCTTTTTTTTTTTTTTTTTTTTTTTGAGACAGAGTCTTGCTTTGTCTCCCAGGCTGGAGTGCAATGGTGTGATCTCAGCTCACTGCAACCTCTGCCTCCTGGGTTCAAGCGATTCTCCTGCATCAGCCTCCCAATTAGCTGGGATTACAGGTGTCCGCCACCATGCCCAGCTCATTTTTTATATTTTTAGTAAGATGGAGTTTCACTATGTTGGCCAGGGTTGTCTTGAACTCCTGACCTCATGATTCACCTGCCTCAGCTTCCCAAAGTGCTGGGATTGCAGGCATGAGCCACCAAACCCAGCCTAAAACTTTTAAATTAGTGAACTGTAGTAGCTGGGACTAAAATTAAGAGAAAACGAAAGAGAAGGGGATACCTTAGCAGGCGGCCATGAAGGCACTAAGGATATTATAAGGAAAGAGTAGGCACAGGGCACTCATTATATGAAGAGCAATGATGCAGGTATCTGGAACTTCCACGTATGCATGTTTGCATTAAAATTAGAAAATATTTATTTCTCAGGCCGGGCGCGGTGGCTCAAGCCTGTAATCCCAGCACTTTGAGAGGCCGAGGCGGGTGAATCACGAGGTCGAGAGATCGAGACCATCCTGGTCAACAAGGTGAAACCCCGTCTCTACTAAAAATACAAAACATTAGCTGGGCATGGTGGCGCGTGCCTGTAATCCCAGCTACTCAGGAGGCTGAGGCAGGAGAATTGCTTGAACCCAGGAGGCGGAGGTTGCGGTGAGCCGAGATCGCACCATTGCACTCCAGCCTGGGTAACAAGAGCGAAACTCCGTCTCAAAAAAAAAAAAAAAAAAAAAAAAGAAAACATTTATTTCTCAAGGTGTTCATTTTTAAAATATCTATAAAAAGTTTCAGTGTTCTGATTCTTTGGGGAAAAATCTAAGTAAGGGAAAAAAATACACTGGTAAAAGAAAAAGAAAGCAATTGGATAATTTTAAAAAATAAATTGAAGAAAATAAGCCTCTGAACAGAAAGTAGCTGATAGGAGGTCCATAGATCATACGTCTAAACACGGAGTTATCACCACAGTTGTACATAAGAACCACTTGAGAACATTTTTTAAAAATTAGTATCCTGGCCCCTCCCCATACCAATTAAATCAAAGTCTATGAGGCTGAGGCCTAGGGGACAGTGACTTTGAAAGCTCACTAGAGTTTTATAAATGAGCAGCCACAGTTGAGAACCACTGGATTAAACTGGTGATTCACAATGGGAGACTCGGTTTTCTCAAACTTTTCACAGCAGCCTTATTCTTACCAAAATTTCCTAAAGTACTCAGAATCTTGGGAAAAGGGGACAGGTGGGAGAAAGGTAATAGGGAGGATAATTTTCTGAAGAGACTTAGCTAGATAAGATCATTCCTCATTACCACCTGTCTTAAGAACTACTGTTCTGTACTACCCAAGGTGCCTCACACCATTTTTTTTCTAAGATGGTGTCTCTCTCTTAACACCCAGGCTGGAGTGCAATGGCGTGATCTCAGCTCACTGCAACCTCTACCTCCTGGGTTCAAGCAATTCTCCTGCATCAGCCTCTAGAGTAGCTGGGACTAAGGCGTGTGCCACTACACCTGGCTAATTTTTGTATTTTCAGTAGAGATGGCTTTTCACTATATTGGTCAGGCTGGTCTCAAACTCCTGACCTCAAGTGATCAAACTGCTTTGGCCTCCCAAAGTGCTAGAATTACAGGCATGAGCCACCACACCCAAGCTCTCATCCCTTTTTTGATGTGACCTTTAAACATTTGAGGATAAGGCAATAAATAAATAAACAACAACAAAACCAAGTTTTTGAATCCAGAAGGCAAAAATCACGAACCCATTTCAACTTGGCAGAGGTACAAATACATACAGCACACTCCCTCAAGAAAACAGATAAGCAGCAGCCTAGAGAATACATATTTTAAGAGGCATCCAACAACATATTGTACTACTGCTTGAGGCTCCAACCCCTCTCTAGTCATCCAGCCAAAAACAAAAACAACTGTAGGCCAGCCTCATATATCATTAGGGTAAAGTACTAGGAAAGAGAAGGGGCCTTGAGCTAACAAAGAGTCCAAGAGCTCTTAGGTTCACAAGCAACAGACAATTGCTTTGTTTCATCATGTTTCCTGATGAATGCTGTATTTGCAACAATTTTTTTTTTTTTAGACAAAGTTTTGTTCTTGTTGCCCAGGCTGGAGTGCAGATCTCAGCTCACTGCAACCTCCAACTCCTGGGTTCAAGCAATTCTCCTGTCTCAGCCTCCTGAGTAGCTAGGATTACAGGCATCTACCACCACACCCGGCTAATTTTTTGTATTTTTGTATTTTTAATAGAGTTTTCACCACGTTGGCCAGGCTGGTCTCGAACTCCTGACCTCAGGTGACCCACCCACCTCGGCCTCCCAAAGTACTGGGATTACAGGTGTGAGCCACTGCACTCCGCCTCACTATACTTCTAAAAAGCATGGAGGCCAAGGAAGAAAACGATGAGGAAGGTGTTCCTTCACCTTCCTCAGTACCTCAAACAGCCTTCAGGGCTCCAGGCCCTTCTCCAGCAGCAAGTGCTCAGAACTGCTCCCCTCCCAAGATCACAGCGGGGCTTGCCACTATCTCTGAGCTCCCTTCCTCCCAGTTCTCGTCTACTTCTGCCTGATGGCCACATACTCTAACCTGGCTTAGTGGTATGCTTCACTTCCAGCATTCTGCTTCCAGCATCACTTGCAAATGATCATTAATACCAAGTCATGCTAGGCATCATGACCTCCATGCAGGCAGAAATGACTTGTCTAGAGTTTACTTTCTCCTCTGTTACTTTTCTTGACTGCCCTGGCAGTTTTCATGGAAATATAGTTTACCACATGAATATGGCTCCCTCCTTCTTTTCATTCCAACTTTCTTTGAATTCCCTTTCCAGAACTCCAGCGTTGTCCATTATGTCCTTGTAAGCACGTTTCTCCACAGTTAGCAAGTATTCAGTAGCAGCCAAGTTTCTACAAGACTTCTGGGGACCTAAGAAACACTCAAACTACCCACTATCTTCTCACCTAAAGTAATTCTTTGCCTCTACTCTCTATCCCCAGACCTGTCGTGGGTCCCATCCAGCTTTCTCTTTGTGCTCTCATCAACATCAAATTGCTTAAAGCTCATATGAAGGAGTTTCTTGCTTTTGTGACATTGTGAATGATGTTCCTTCTGTTTGGAATATCTTTCCTTCCCTATTTCCCTTTTGCTTGGAAAATACCTCTCATGGACTCAGCTCCAGATTTATCTTCCCCAGAAAAGCCTATCCTGAGGTCTTCCCTCTGAGTTCTTTAAATTGCCTATGCCCCTATCTCCATCACTGGACTTGCCACATTATGCTATAATTATTCATTTATGAGACTTCCCTACTTGACTTCGGGCTCAGTGAGGGCAGCAAGTGTGATATGGTCATCTTTCCTTCTCCAGCAGAGAAGGTATACTCCACAGTGCTTTCAGAATGAATGTATGCATGATGGTTCAACCCCGATGGAAGAAATTCATGAAAACTCTTCTTCTTTTGCACTGACACTTGGGAGGTGAGACTCTCTTACCACTGTGAGGTAAAGTCAACAAACTCTGCAGAGAACTTGTCTGCTGGGAGTTGTGGCGATGGCTCCTCTACCACCTGTTTGAGCTGCTGAAATGGAGTTCCCCATGAATCATAGGGAAACCGAAGGATGGCCAATTCAATCTGGAGGAGAGAGGAAACAAGGAGACATCGGTTTCAACTGGGCTGCTTTAGGGAATCACCCGTGTTTCATTTGTGGATAGCCAGAGGGAAGCACAAAGCAAAATTCAAGTATAAGTTGGGGGAGGGGGCAGAGAATAAACTAATAATCTGTTCTTTAGCAATTTTCCCCAAATTGCTAGTCCTAGGGATTTTTTAATATTACTTGCTAGACACAGCCACTTAAGCCTATCTAAAACCAGACCCCTCAATAAAACTCACTGGGCTACTTCATAAAAATTGCAAGCCAACAGTATTAAACTTCAGGATGTAAAGCTACCAGGACTTCAAATGTTTGGTCTGAAAAGTAATTCCCAGCCTAAGACCTTTCCAGAGCTGAGCATCTACTGCCACCTGCAGGAGCCTTGGTGAAATGACAAGGGAAAGAAAGCAACCTAGGACCAAGTGACTGATCTCTTTTTGGACTTGAGAAAAGGCCACTTTGCATTACAGGATCATGTGTTTTCTGGGCAGGCAGGAGAAATAACTCACGGGATTTATTCAGCTGCTGTGCCTGGGGAGGAGCCAGCACCACAGTGGATAATTCCAGACCTTGGTGATACACTGAAAATGTATGACCACCAAAGTTATAAAATTTAGGATCACCAAAGTTATGAATAAGATCTGAATAAATCAATAACTTTAGGGCTGTGTCTAAGGAAATAATCCTATTGTTATCATATATTGAGGATATACCTGACTGATATGGTTTGGCTGTGTCCCCACGCAAATCTCATCTTAAATTTTACCTCCCATAATTCCTACATGTTGTGGGAGGGACCCAGTAGGAGATAATTGAATCATGAGGGGCAGTTTCCCCCATACTGTTCTGTGGTTCTCATGGTAGTGAAAAAGTCTCACAAGATCTGATGGTTTTATGAGGTGTTTCCCTTTTCGCTTGGCTGTCTCATTCTCTCTCGTCTGCCGCTATGTAAGATATACCTTTCACCTTCCACCATGATTATGAGACCTCCACAGCCTCATGGAACTGTGAGTCCATTAAACCTCTTTTTCTTTTAAATTACCCAGTTTTGAGTATGCACTTATCATCAGTGTGAAAATGAACTAATAAACCGACCTCATCAGACTTTTACTTCTACTTCTCGAATAAAAATATCCTGGGAAGCATACCCTATGTCCTGGATATCACAGTCCTATCAGGGTTCATGCGGATTAGCATTCTTTGCATAGCTTAAGCTTCTTGCCTTGGCTTGAATAATTTAATTTTAAACAACAAGGAATCTAGTCAGACCCTCTTATTTTACAGATGAGGATAGGAAGATAGTCTATGTGACTGTAACAATTATTCAAAAAGGCATATAGCTCGTCAGAAGTGAAATCAAAAGAAAAACTGGTTTCCCCAATCCCATATCAGTATTTCTACTATACCACACTACAAACAATTATTACTCAAAATCTCCTGCCATCTCAGCAGGAGAGGGTGCCCCAAACCAGCATTTAGGGCATTTGTTTCTTGGCCCCAATGTCTACCTCATTCAAGTTTCATGCCCACAGCCTCATAGTTCATGATGATTGGCATACACTACCATCGTGATGCCCAGACTCCAAATGTCAGACTTCACACTGTATCCCTTCTGGTTGAGCTCTGGGTTTATTCTTTCAGGCTGGAAAGGAGACACACAACTGAGAAACTAGGAAGCAATTGAGATAACATTCTTAGTTCAATAGTCTCTGGGGATGGGGGTAGCATCAGCTGCCAAGTAAGTTGCTGTAAGCTGTTAACATGCCTCCCAGGCCAAAAAGACCCAGTTAACTACAATAAATATCAATGTCTCCATGGGGTTTCCCTTCTTCTGTGTTTGTCTTTTCTTGGACACAGTAATGGATCAAGTTCCCTTCATAACAAATTTCAAATTTGCCTTAAGAAGAAATAGGGCATATGTTATAAAGCTACTTTGACCATCTAGAATTATCCTTGCTAAAAACATTAATAGTCCAGAACTCAGTAAAACAAGAGTCAATGGGCTACTGTTCCATGCTAATAGACCTGAGCAATTTTTAGCTAACACAGACAGGAAGCTTTTCAAATAAAAGCACAAGTCTATTTCCAGATAGAATATAGTGTTCGTTCCTTTAGTTAAAGGGGATTACCAGGTCTCTGCTAATGGCAGTGAATCTTCATAGCTGTGAGGTCCTCTCATGACTAACCTCACTGCCTTGCTTGGGTACTTTAAGTTCTACTTATCATTTTGTCCTCAACAAACAAGTTAATACGCCCCTGTAACACAGTCTGGAAAACTGTGCAGGCTATATGTATTGTGTATATATTTTTTCAAATAACATATCTCTTTCACTTGATTTTTTCAAAGTAACACATAAATAACTATGGTCTGAATGTTTGTGCCCCACCAAAATCCACATGCTAAAACCTAATCGCGCCTGTGATGGTATCAGAAGGCAGGGCCTTTGGGAGGTGATTAAGTCATGAAGGTGGAACACTAAAGAACAGGATTGGTGTCCTTATAAAAGACGCCCTAGAGAGATCCTTCACCCCTTTCACCATGTGAGGACTAAGCAGGAAGTTGCTATGTATAATACTGAGAAAAGTGAGCCCTCATCAGACACCAAATCTTCTGGTGCCTTGCTCTGGGATTTCCTAGCTTCCAAAGCGGTGAGAAATAAATTTCTGTTGTTTATAGGCTGCCTGGTTTACATTATTTTGCTATAGCAGCCTGAACAAACTAAGACGATATATGAAGCAGGTGACAAGATTTCAGACAGGAAATGTATAAGAAAAACTAAGAGGTAGATTACTTCTGGAGTCTTAGGCACATTTCCATTTTTCCTCTGTGGCCATCCATCGCTTATTTCCCAGCATGATTTGTCAGTAGTGACATGACCAGATGTCACCTAGCTGAGGTACTTACGGCCATGTATGGCTTGCAACCTGCATCAATTGTTTTAGCTACAGAGTCCACCAAGTAGCCACTGATTCCAAAATCGCACATCTTCACTTGACCAAGAGCATTAATGAGTACGTTAGAAGGCTTGACGTCTGAAAGCAAAAACAACCAGGATCCCATCATTCCAGCCTGCTTTCAAGATTCATTTCTCTACCACCAGAGGGCTTAAAAACTCCATTTGTCTTTTATCTTCCTTTCAGCAAGTTGTCCAACACAGAAGTAACTGCCATCTCTGACTCGTAGTTATAAACTGCTTATTGCTTTCAACCTGATTTTCTATTGCATGTTTTGTTCATTCCTTGTAGAACCATGAATTTCTCAATACAAAGAACTTTTTCTCCACTTATTTTATGATCTTCATTGCCCTCATACTTGTAGTAAGAGCCTAGAAAATTATTACTGAATCAAATACTCAATTCAAAATGATCTATTGATATTTAATGTAGGAGTAATAAACCAAAGAACAAAAAGGCAGACTGTGACACAATGATAAACCAAATATGACCAAAAAAACCTTTTTTTGCTTTTGTTTTTGGTTGGTTTGGTTTTTTTCTTCAAGATAAGGTCTTGCTTTATCACTCAAGTGACATGCAGTGGTGTGAGCATAGCTCACTGCAATCTCAAACTCCTGGGCTCAAATCATCCTAATCTGCCTCAGTCTCCTGAGTAGCTAGGACTACAGGTGTACACCATCATTTCCAGCTTTTTTTTTTTTTTTTTTGGATAGACAGGATGTTTCTGTGTTGACCAGGCTGGTGTCAAACTCCTGGCCTCAAGTAATCCTCCCACCCCACCTCCCAAAGGGCTGTGATTACAGGTGTGAGCCACCAAGCCTGGCCCAAAGCATCTGTAAGTAATGTGTCAAAGATTAAAAATGTAAAGCATCAGAAACCCAGGTATTCTAGACCAAAGGGCAGGTTACTGAACAAGCAGCATTACAAACCAGATTTTAAATGAATTCTTTCAACTAGAAAGGTTTAACCCACCTGCCCAAATGCCCCAAAAATGAGACTATGATTATCTCTGGACAATAAATTTGAAATTACAGTTAAATTTTTCCCTCTGTGATACTTTTCACAAAGCCCATAAAATTAGAAGTTAAAGGTTATTACAAAAGCTTTAAAATTATCCTTTATAATTTTCCCTTTAAGCTGACAGATACACAAATTTCATTTTATTATTTTTATACCTTACATATATTCTCTAATATGAGTTACATATTTAATAACTGTGAAATAACCCTTCATGTTAATTTCAAAGTTGTGAATAATCAACAATCTTTTTCCTATCTGTATTCCTTCCCATTTTCTTCTCCTCATCTTCCTTCATCCTATTTTTCCAATTTTTAATAACAACCAATAATAATAGGCACACTGTGCAAGGCATTTTACATTATTTCCAAGCTTAGAGAGTTTAAGAATTACCCAAACCACAATGTCCTGTTACTTACCAACACATTTCATTCTTTTTCCCAAAGACATGGTTGAGGGTATCACTTCCTAGAAATTTCACTGACTACAATCACTAAGTGATAGCACTTACTTATTTCACATTATCTATATTACTTCTATATTTGGTACTTGATTTTTTTTTTTTTTTGACATGGAGTCTCACTTTGTCACCCAGGCTGGAGTGCCTCAGGTTCAAGCAATTCTCGTGCCTCAGCCTCCCAAGTAGCTGGAATTACAGGCACCCACCACTACACCCGACTAATTTTTGTATTTTCGGTAGATACAGGAATTTGCCATGTTGACCAAGCTGGTCTCAAACTCCTAACCTCAGGTGATCCACCCACCTTGGTCTCCCAAAATCCCGGGATTACAGGCATGAGTCATGGCACCTGGCTTGCTACTTTCATATTTCTAAGGTGGCGTTTTTTTAAATATTACTTCCCTGTAAAAATCCTGATGTATAATTTAATAAGAATATATTTTCTTCTCAGATACTTCTCAGGGCCTCTATTACATTTTAAAAGTTATTTTAAAAAATGAATAAATGTATGAATGGGTGGATAAAAGATGAATAAATGAATATGTGGATGAATGGACAACTGAAGAAATAACAGGCCAATAAGAAGGAATAAAAGGAAGGAGAAAGAGATAAATCATTTTATCCCGCCTACCGTTGTCCGAAAGGGCTCCGCTTTATACCAGAGTTTTTTACACTTTAATGTGCACAAGAATCACCTGGATATCTTGTTAAATGCATATTCCAATTTATTTGGTCTTGAGACCCATTATTCTTTTCCAACGAGCTCTCATGCGATGGCCAATACAAGATCAATTTTTATCATGTTCTCTAAAATTTCCAAAGAGGTACTCCCACAGCTCTGCTTGCTAACAAGAGTTTATAGTCAATTTGTGTATAAAATAAAGATCATGTCTTCTTCTTATGTCCTCAGCCACAATAAGGAATACTGCTTACATTGTTTGCTATCCAATCACAAAGGAAAGCCCCATAGTTCTCTTGCCTTAGATGGAAGTCAATTCTACTTCCATCCATGGGGGTTGGGGCAGGGAGGGACTCCAGGTGGAAGAAATGAACTTTATCAAAGGAACAGCCAAGGCAGCTCATGGATGCTTACCTCTATGAATGACAGACAGCTTACTGTGTAAATGTTCTAATGCTTTTACAATCTGCAAGAGAAACACAAGATAGATTTATTTATCACATCCCTGGAAAGAAATTGAAAGTTAAGTATATCAAGGTTTATTTTCCTTGGCTTTAGGTTACTGGTAAGATATTTTCTTAAATAGTGGTGGTCCTATCTAGGAAAATACACAGGAAGTTACACAAATTGGACTCCATCCACCAGAGAGGACTATATCTTATATCAGAGAGGATGTCTCCCTCATCTGTCTTGTTCACTTGCCCTCATTCTTTTTCTCTCCACCCTCCTGCGCCTGAAGAGCCATGAAGGTAGCAGACCTTCTTTCTATTTATTTTCCTCTGCTTCCTTCTATGCCTACTAGTCTTAAGAGAACACTTTAAAAATCCATAAATGAAAATCAGAATAAACTAATGTCAGAATATATACACCAGGAATGTGGTCCTAGTTGATTAATGCACCGCTTACAGTCATTTAACTTAAGAGTCTGCCAAACCAAAGCAGTGCTAGAATCTTCTACACAGTGCTTGGAAAGGAACGCATGTGTTTATCCATCCACCAATGAACTTCAACAGACATGTACAAATAGTAGCTGTGGTCCAGGTAGTATTTCTTTCTACTGAAGTATAAAGACACGTAGGAACTTTATTTCTCACATTATCCTTGCAGTAAGGCTCATAATGTACTCACAGAAACTGCTATTTTCCCTAAGATGTCCTCTGGAATTGTCTGGCCTTTATCAATAACTTGTTTGTAGAATTTATCTAGTGATGTATCCATAAGCTCCATGCAGATCCACACATCACCCTGGAGACCAATTAGTCCAGGAATTGTTTTAAAAGATGGAAAAGGGAGAAAGGAGAAAGAGAAAAAAAAAAAAAAACAGTAAACACCTGTCCTGAAAAATTAACTATTTCGTTTTTGAATTTTGCAGGGAAATAGACTGTTTTCTGTCAAGATCATAAAGGAATTTACAAATAAGCAAGGTTATCTCCAAAGAGAACACCGGTACGTAGCCGAGCAGAACCTGCATGTGATCTCCTACCCCTCAATGGAAAATTGAATCTAATTACTAACAGACACAAGCAATACAACCCCAGAAATCCAAGCCTTTACTGATATAACTCTCTAGGAGTTAGCTCTAGATGCCTACTCCATGTAGGATTTCCCACAGTAGGCACCAGCAATAGTCAGTCAAAAAGCTGGTTTTAATGAGGTGAAGCTTCATAATCCATATAATGGTAAAGTGAAAAACAGAGGTAGAGAAAAAAGATCAAAGTAAGTCTATATAGTACACAAGCAGGTTAGGTGAAGCTCATAAAGCAGTCAAAAGACCAGAATATTTCAAATTATAAGGGATCTTTGCAAATCAGTCTACAGGCAATATAGAAAGTTCTGCCAAGATAAACAAAACAAGAAAGATAGAAGAAGAGAATCTCAGCTTCTTAAAAAGGCTAACCACATTTGAAAATACCATAATGTAGGCTGGGTATGGTGGTTCACACCTGTAATCCTAGCACGTTGGGAGGTCGAGGAGGGTGGATCATCTGAGGTCAGGAGTTTGAGACCAGCCTGGCCAACATAGCAAAACCCCATCTCTACTAAAAATACAAAAATTAGCCAGTTGTGGTGGCATACACCTGTAATCCCAGCTACCCAGGAGGCTGAGGTAGGAGAATTACTGAAACCCGGGGAGCAGACGCTGTAGTGAGCTGAGATTGCGCCACTGTACTCCAGCCTGGGTGACAGAAAAAGACTCTGTCTCAAAAAAAAAAAAAAAGAAAGAAAGAAAATACCATAATTTCAATCCAACCTTGCCTCAGAGCATGTCATCATTGCATACATGTAAACCCCCCTATACAAGATGTATCAAACAAGAAAGAGCTCCATGATTGTGCGTGGCATTTATATGATCAAAGGAACTTCTTTTTCATTTACTGCTCTTCTCGGACTTCGAATTGAAGGGTCACCTACCTCCCGAAAGAGTGCGCCATAAAAGGTGACGGTGAATGGACAGTCCACCGTCCTCATGGAAATATCCAAATCCATCAGTAGCCTTTTCTGTTCCTGGCTATTTACTGTGGCTCGGATCCGCTGAATGGAAGTGCATGGAAAATGTATGGTTACTACTCTGATGATGAGGCAGGCAGGGACCTGAAGGAGTCCCATCAAAATAGTATAGTTCGTAACACAACTTCTAGCAACAACATTGTGAATATCCACCCTAAGCAATTAGCTATTTGTAACACATGAAAATAAGGAAGAATGTTACTCATTTGATTTCCTGAATAGTACTGGTAAGAAACAAATTGATACTGTTTTGGAGGGTGATAAAATGTTTTGGAATGTATTTCCAAGTTACAAAAACAATCTACTTTACTCTGTTATGTCTGTTCAGTGCAAAGAGGACATAGTATTAATTACTTTGCTGCTTATCTGGGGTCCTAAGAAAATAAAAAGCCAAAAGCTCTTCTTTGGGAACATGTAAGAGTATTTGGAGCGAACAGCAACTGTAAGAGAATTGGTACAGCTATAGGAAATAGAAGGAATTCAACAGAAATGAAGAAACCATTCATTCTTATCCCAGTGCTTCTGAGATAAATCTGTCATACTAGCAAATGTAGCCTTACAGAAACATGATTATGTCACTAAATTATAGGAGATATACAATATCACTAGGCCTTCAAACTTTTTGCCTACTTAGCAAGTCAGCAGAAGAACAGACTGGAAAATCTAAAAGATAAAAGTATTTCCATTCTTCAAAAGCAAAGAGATCCAAGTCACCTGATCATTCCTAACAATGGCCCAAATCTATTAATTCAACTAGAGATGTTAATTCCTTACAATCCTCCCAGGATCTACTCAATAATATGAAATGATTTTAAACTTCCTTTCATAGCTCAAAAACTATGCAAATTTACTCTAGATATATTTTACCCTCCTTTTTTCACAAATGGAGACAATTTTCTCTCTCAATTCTGGTTTCTTGATTTTCAGGGACAATTCTTTAAAAGCAACAAAATACAGAATAAAAGAGATTTATGAGTCATAACAGCAAAATGCAATATGTAAACTTTCATTGGGATGCGGATTTGAAAATCCAGCAAGATAAAACACACATACACACTTTGAGATGATCAAGGAAATTTTCATTTGGACTGCAGATTAGATGAAGAAAGTATCATTAATTAATTTTAAGTGCAATGCTGACATGGTAGTTTTGTAAAAACTAAAAATGGTGGAAGACTGGGTAGAGGGAGACTTAAGGGTTAAAAAAAAAAGTAGATACAACTCATACCAAAAAAAAAAGCCTTTTCTATACCTTTGGAGGAAAATACTCTTCCCTGCAAATAATCTGTTCTGTTTTACCCTACTGAAGATGGTTTTGCTTCTATTAAAAGGGCTGGTTGACAATTGAGATGGACAAACATATACACAGCAGATATAAAACATTTGGGAGAATGTCAACTCTACCTTAACTGCCATGATCTGCTCACTGGGCACGTGCCGCATTTTCTCCACCACCCCGTATGCACCTCGTCCCAGTTCCATTATAGGCTCCAGGTCATCTGCCTTCACCTCAAAGTTCTGCAAGAGAGGAAAGGAATAATGCAATGGGAAAGAGAAAAATAAGCAGAACAGAGAGCTCATTGTCCTCTATCTCATTTCTTTCAATGTTCTAAGGATTATTTCTGGGCTAGAAGATTTTCTAGCATATCAAAGCAGCCTCTGAAAGCAAGAAGCTACAAGAAGGGCCAAGAGATGTCTAGGAGCTGCCACAGTAGCCCACCTGCTTGTCCCACGCAATACAGAAACCCAACTTTGACTCAGCTTGCCAATTGCTCAGTTGAAGTATTACACTGCAATTCTTTAGCCATGACCCTTCATTCTGTCTGTAACCCATTATCGACTGATGGCAAATAGATTATGTCTGAACTTTAAGAAATGCCCTCCCAAGAGAATCATCTGCTCTCTAAATAGCTTCCATCAAAACCACAACAGCCTGATTTCAATTCAACATTTTTTCAAAATAGCAAAAACTTTACATACCACTTCCTTTTAAATGCAAACTTTTTTTTTTAACCCATCCCCTGACAGCATGCTAGGGAAAATACACTTTTCAGTCAGAAAGCATACATATAAAATGGCCAAGGTATTAGCTGGCAGACATGATTTTTCTTACCTGATTTCCAATAGAAATGCAAGCCTTGGAGTCTAAATCTCGAGGTGGCCTAAGAAAGACAAGGGGGGAAGGAAAAAACATAAACTATGGAGTCCACTGTGTCCTTTCCAGATCACATGCCACTGGGGATGTTTCTCCTTAAGAAGAAAGTGGAAGTTCATGAGTAAACTCAAGCAGCATATGAGTGTGAATAAGAGGGGATTTGAAATAAATTATTTTGGGGTTTAAATTACTTAATCTCTTTGGGGCTACATTTCTCCTTTAACATGGGGATATTAACATACCTACATTGTGAAGCAGAAATGAGTATTAAATGAGATAATACAAGTAAAATGCTTAGCAGAATGTTTGGCATACAGTAAACATCTAATTCATATGAGCTACATATGTGCAATTATATAGATTGGGGTGCCCAACCCCAAAGCCACAGACTAATACCAGTCAGCAGGAGATGAGTGGTGGGTGAAGGAGAGAAGCTTCATCTGTACTTACAGCTACTCCCCATTGCTCACATTACCACCTGAGTTCCATCTCCTGTCAAATCAGCAGTGGCATTAGATTCTCATAGGAGCACAACCCCTATTGTAAACTGTGCATACGAGGGATCTAGGTTGCCTACTCCTTATGAAAATCTAATGCCTAATGATCTGTCACTGTCTCCCATCACCCCAAGATGGGACCGTCTAGCTGCAGGATAACAAGCTCAGGGCTCCCATTGATTCTATATTATGGTGAGTTGTGTCATTATTTCATTATGTATTACAATGTAATCATGATAGAAATAAAGTGCACAATAAATATAATGTGCTTGAATCATCCCAAAACCATCCCCCAACTCAGTCCAGGGAAAAGGTCTTCCGCAAAACCAATCCCTGGTGCCAGAAAGGCTGGGAACTGCTGATATAGATCATTGTGATATAGCAGTAAGTCTAAAACTTCTTTCATCCAAGAGCACCGATGTATATAATTATTCCACCACACATCTCACAATTGTTTTAAGAAACAAATAGTAATGGCATATGTTGTGTTAAGTCACAAAATTCATAGAAATAGGAATTTCAAATCTAGTCCCTTCTTTTACAGATGGACAGAGGTCCAGAGAGGTGAAGTGACTCCCCTCAGCCCACAGCTGCCCCAGGTCTCCTGACTTCCAGCTCTGCATTCTGTCTACTCTACCAGGCTGTCACATCAAGCCCAGCAATATTTTTACCATACATAGTACACATACACAATTCCAGTGTCCTCTTAGGAGCCAGAGGTTTGCTGATTTTGTTTCTATAGTCACTTCCTGAGTATTTATTTCTACTACTTCAGTGATCTCTCCAGTGGTATCAATCTACTTAAGAGAAAAATGTTTGGCTTTGGCTGTCCACAGAACTAGGAGCTCAGACAAGCATTTTCCTAAAACAAATGTACCAAAAGTAGTACAATAAACATAGCAAATGCCGGCTGGGTGCGGTAGCTCACAGCTGTAATCCCAGCACTTTGGGAGGCCAAGGCCAGTGGATTATCTGAGGTCAGGAGTTTGAGACCAGCCTGGCTGACATGGTGAAATGCCACGTCTACTAAAAATACAAAAATCAGCCAGGCATCGTGGTGTGCTCCTGTAATCCCAACTACTCAAAAGGTTGAGGCAGGAGAATCGCTTGAACCCAGGAGGCTGAGGTTGCAGTAAGCCAAGATCGTGCCATTGCACTCCAGCCTGGGTGACAGAGTGAGACTCCCTGTCTCACAAAAGAAAAAGAAAAAGAAAAACATAGCAAATGCCAAGAAACATATTGTTAATGTGATCATACGAAAAGAACAACTAAAGGCTAAAAACAAAAGAATCCTGGTGCTGTCAAAAAAAAGAGAGTGAGCAGAGAGGTATAGACTAAGTTTCTCTGGAAGTGCATTCCATGCCAGAAAAAGGCAAAGGAAAATGGAAAGAGACAGGAAAAGGGAAGGATGAAAAGGAGAGGGAAGAGAATCCTTTGCCAATGAGATTTTTTTTCCCAACTGTCAGGTATTATGATTCTAACTCTTCTGCTGAAATTAAATACATAAATATAATTTAAAAGTAGCAATACAGGCCAGGTGCAGTGGCTCACACCTGTAATCGCAGCACTTTGGGAGGCCAAGGCAGGTGAATCACCTAAGGTCAGAAGTTCAAGGCCAGCCCAGCCAATGTGGAGGCCGAGGTGGATGGATCACCTGAGGTCAGGAGTTCATGGTAAAACCTCATCTCTACTAAAAATACAAAAATTAGCCAGGTGTGGTGGTGGGAGCCTGTAATTCTAGCTACTTGGGAGGCTGAGATAGCAGAATCACTTGAACCTGGGAGGCACAGGTTGCAGTGAGCTTAGATCGCACCACTGCATTCCAGCCTGAGTGACAAGAGCCAAGACTTGGTCTCGAAAAATGAAACAAAACAAACCCCTCCCTCAAAAAAAGGAGGAATACAAATACAGATATAAACATGACTCTAAGATTTTAACAGCAAGCCTTCTCTCACCTTAAAATCCTTTTGGAATACATAGACTACTCAAGATTTTTTTTTTTTTTTTTTGAGACGGAATTTCGCTCTCGTTACCCAGGCTGGAGTGCAATGGCGCGATCTCGGCTCACCGCAACCTCCGCCTCCTGGGTTCAGGCGATTCTCCTGCCTCAGCCTCCTGAGTAGCTGGGATTACAGGCACATGCCACCATGCCCAGCTAATTTTTTGTATTTTTAGTAGAGACAGGGTTTCACCATGTTGACCAGGATGGTCTCGATCTCTCGACCTCGTGATACACCTGCCTCGGCCTCCCAAAGTGCTGGGATTACAGGCTTGAGCCACCGCGCCCGGCGACTACTCAAGTTTTTTATACGAACTTAAAACTGGGGACTTAGAGGGACAGAGAGAAAAACAACACAAAACAAACAACACACACACACACACACACACACACACACACACACCCCTCATAAACAAAAGTGATGTGTTTATATACCTTGTGTTTCTGAGCAGGGAATTTTCCTTCAGAAAAGGTTTCTAGAAGAATCAAATTTCTAAAACTCTAATTCCTCTTTCTAAAGATTTCTAAAGCTGGTTTGTTTTTTTTTTCAGTTGTCACAATTTGCTTGTGCTAATTCATAATGGCAATTTGAAATGAAGGCAAATATGACTTGAAATGTGACTAATATAAACCATAAAAAATCCCTTGCAATTATTCAACACCCCCCCTTTTTTTTTGAGATGGAGTCTCACCCTGTTACCCATGCTGGAGTGCAGTGGCGCAATCTCGGCTCACTGCAATCTCCACCTCCCAAATTCAAGCAATTCTCCTGCCTCAGCCTCCCAAGTAGCTGGGATTACAGGTGCCTGCCACCATGCCTGGCTAATTGTTGTACTTTTAATAGAGACAGCGTTTTGCCATGTTGGTCAGGTTGGTCTCAAACTCCTGACCTCAAGTGATCCAGCCTCCCAAAGTGCTGGAATTACAGGCATGAGTCACCACATCTGGCCTGTATGCCTGCTTTTTTATTTTATTTATGTATTTAATATCAGCAGAAGGGTTAGAATCATATAGTAGCAGCTGGAATTACAGCCACCACACGCAGCTACCACCTTGACTTTTTAAAAGTATAAAGCAACAGAAAGGTCACTAATTATTTGGAGCTGCCACTGTTTTCTTGCCATCCAATGAGGTTACTGAATATGATCTCTTCCAAGTCTAAAATTCTTATATTGTATGTATATATATATATATATATATATATATATATATATATACACAGACATATATATATATATATATATACCAAGGCTCAGCAAATTATAGCCTGTGATACAGCTAAGAATGACTTTTCCAAATTTAAATGCTTGTAAAAAACAAAAAATAAACAACAGCATCCTCTGTGGCCCATGTAGCCTAAAATATTTACTATCTTGCCTTTAAAAAAAAAAAAAAAGTTTGTTGACCTTGGCTCTATACTAACCTTGTATTACCCCTGGACCTAATAGAAGGATATGGTGCCATTTTCTAGATTAAGAAAAATGAAACCCAGAAAAGCTGAGTGATTTTCTGAAGCCATACAGTCATCAACAGAGCTGAAAATAAAACTCAGTCACCTGAATCTCAGCCTTGATTTAAGGAGGAGAAAGAGGAAGAGGAGAAGAAAATATAAAAAACTGGGCTAAGAGTTTTTACCTGCTGTCATGATTCCCATCGAGGCAGATTGAATACAAGGAACTTGCTCCCAATACCTGGCCTCCTCTAATGAAAATGATCAATTCACCCACACTGCAGGCCCTTGGGCTCATCAAGTGGGCCAAAAACATCAAACGATGGGGCCAAGACTGACAAATCAGATTGGATTAGTTGACGTTGTGCTCTGTCCAGGGCTAGGCATATTAGTTTGCCAGGGGCATTGCAATTCTACAGGAAGTTTATACTGTGGGTAGATGTTCTCTGCCACTTATTCAATATTTTAGTCCTCTGGGGAAAGAACCAAGCTTATTACAAAAATTCTTCCCCTGGAAGACCAAAGGTCTTCCAAAGGTCACCTAGTATTCATTTTTTATATGAACAACCAGCTTTGGTTTAGTATGATAATTATTCATTTATAATTTTATATGAGGAATCAGTTCACTGGTTATTATCCCAATTATTATTCATTTACTCAGAAATATTTATTAAGGACGTATTGGGGCAAAAGACTGTGCAAGACCACTTGCATAAAATAGCTTCCTTAATTTTTACAATTCTCAGAGGTATTAATAATAGAGGTATTATTACCTCTATTGAAATAGAATAGGGTATGAATTGAAATCGAGGTAATACTACTTCTATTAAAACCTCTTTCAACAATTAATATTGAAAGTGACTAAATAATTTAAGAACACTCAGAGAGACAATGAAATGAGAACCCACAGCTGCACCATGATGACTTCTCCTACACAGTATGCTATAAAGAATCCTACCTCTCATTTAACTAGTCATAAACTGTTTGGTCACAGCCTCTACCAGTCTGATGTGTGGCTAAGAGCACGTAATTGAGAGTCAGAGATTCCTGAGCTTATATGC